CTGAAGTTGCCTTAGAATTTTGGCTTCTTAGGTCACAAAGAGACGGTGGAACAATGCAGAAAGCGGTGGAAAACCGCACAGACGAGACTAGTGGCGTCCCCTGGCTACCACCTGGGCCTGTGCTCGGCTGGGTCCAGACTTAGCAGAGGGAAGCTCTACCGCAGCGGTATGAGTCTTATTTCAAGGTATTTCTCACCTGACCCGTGTGCTCTGTTTCGTCTTTATTAATCAGATACATCAGGAAGAACCTAGAACAAGGAAAAAAGGTGTAACAACTGAGAAAAAGACAATGTGAGATACTCTGCTTAGGAGACCACACTTCATGTACCCAGTCAAGTGAACCAGCGAGCGGATGGGACCCGCTGTTGACTGCTGACCACGGTGCCTTTCAGGCCTGGGGCCGTGTGGCATGACAGACCCCATCGATGGCTTTGCAATAATATATACATTGATCTTAAAATGAGCTTTCCTGCGAGAACAGGTCCATTTTACTGGTCTCAAACCTGGAGCTAAGATCACTTGTGAGGAAGGATTTGGCTACCATTTTATTGTTTTAAATGATCCTAAACAACAAACTGGTAACCAAAAACGCTTACTGTAGAATTTTCAGGAGTCCAGCATATCAGAATGTAGACTGATGTGTCTGTCTGAAAGGTCGGTCATGGAAAAGGAGGAAGCATTTCATCTCATTGAGTTGCCCTGATTCTTCCAGAAGTATGGTGTGTTTTTATCACAGACAACTGAGAAAGGCCTGCATAGTTTCACTTGCTCTAATGGGGATGCGTCTAAGGCTCGAGTCTGTCTGGAACACACAGGCATCCCAGGAGGCTGGGGCTGGTCTCTCAGCTCACGTCACGTGATCTCAAAGACAGCCTCCGAAGGGACCAACCCCGTGCCCTTCAGGAGAAGGATGGTGAGGCTGGTGGAAGGAAGACAAAGCAGAAATAGCATTTTTCTGAGGGTGGGGAGAGTCTGAGCCCCAGATTTTCAGTTCTCGCATGCTATTCATAGGCATATAGTTTTAGGTCATGGCCCACAGCAGAGGCAATAAATATATTAGTTTCCTTCCTTTTCCTTTATCAGACTAAGAAAGGAGGCATGGCCAATATCTTGTCCTGGAGGATACTCACTGTTCCCTTCCTAGCAAGCTGACTGCACCACTTTTAGGGGGGAGTTTCAAACGTGGACAGGACGGTTTCTCTCCCCTTGAGGTTGCTGCTGGAAGGGGGTCCCAACCCAGACCCCCCTTTCACTCTTCTCTCTTCACTGGGCCTGACCTTGGCTGCGGCCTCACCTTTTACAGAAGGACACCCCATCTCCTCCATGAAGATGCAGACCCTCTTAGCGAGATGACTCAAGGTGGGGTGTGCTCATATTTTGCTTTTAAACCTGTGTTTTTGTCTTAAGCAACTCATTCGAGCAAAAAGATTTATCGTTGCTACTTTGACAGTAACACCTTTCCCTAAAGGTAAGGCCTGTTCCATCCTCAAGAAAAGTTAGAGCTTTCTGCACAATAAAATATAGACCCAGAGCGGGTGGGGCAGGCCGGGGAGCAGAGCCCAGCAGTTTCTTTCCTTGAAAATGATGAGTCACAGAGTCGGAA